TACAGATTTTTTTGTTCTGTTGTTAGAAGATACTTTAGCCTGGCTACATCTGAAGTCACCCTCTGTGGCCCTGTCTTTATATTCTTTCAATCTACCTTTAACAAAATGAGATCTTCCACTCCCGAGTTTGCCTCTGTAAGAGCTAGTTTGACAGAACAGATGTCTTTTCTGCATTCCCTTTGCTCATCCATACATGAAAATAACTTCTCTTAAACTTGTGGAGACACCTTTTGTATCTGTTATACCGAACCTAAATACAATTCAACAGATAATAGAATAATGATGTTGACTTTGGCTACAAGTCCACTGTAAGTAGTTTCATTTTGTAAAGAAGGTAGATGTCATTTAATTTGGCTGTTACACAGCAATGATAAAAAGTAGCATTTTAAACCCTTTGTCTTTTACAGTTAATGTTAAAGATGTTGTGTTTTAATTTGTATAAAAATTAGCATTTTATAGGCCTGGTCTAAAAATCCTTCGATCTAGAATTAAACGCGTTTTCTGTCATTTAGGTGATGCTAGGCTTAGACCTGAAGCTAAACAAAGACTGTTACATTATGTAAAAGAAGAACCTCACGATGCAAATGGGTACTTCAATTTGGGTATGCTGGCAATGGATGACAAAAAAGATACGGAAGCAGAGGCTTGGATGAAGAAAGCCATAAGGTTACAGCCAAACTTCCGAAGTGCTCTGTTCAATTTGGCACTGCTGTATTCTCAGACAGCGAAAGAATTGATGGCTTTGCCCGTCCTGGAAGACCTGCTAAGATACTACCCTGATCATACCAAAGGTCTGATTTTGAAAGGAGATATCCTTATGAACCAAAAGAAGGATATCGTTGGAGCAAAAATGTGTTTTGAAAAAATTTTGAAACTGGATCCCAACAACGTACAGGGAAAACATAATCTTTGTGTGGTTTACTTCGAAGAGCGAGACTTAATAAAAGCAGAAAAATGTTTGGTTGAGACGCTGGCACTGGCACCTCATGAAGAGTATATTCATCGTCATCTAAACATAGTTAGGAGTAAAATTGCATCACTCAGTGCTACGGAACAGTCATCACTTCCAGCATATGGGACTGCAACTGAAGCTGCAGAAGAAAAAAAAAAAAAATTTCAGAATTTGAAAGAAGTAAAAACTAAGCAGACCGCCCCACACACAACAGTTGATAACAATAAAGGGCACTCAAAAAATAGGAAACGAACAGAGAAAAATAATATGGACAAAGAGACTCCCAAAAAATCTACAAAAGAAATCAAAGACATTGAGAAAAAGAGAGTTGCTGCTTTGAAAAGACTAGAAGAGATTGAACGTATATTAAGTGGTGAATAGTCTTTATCATGTCACAACAGATTAAGGGGAGGATACTATCTTTAGTTATTGTTTAGTATGTGATCCAAATGGAAAGTGGTCTCAGTGCTTTGAAAACAGAAATTATATTGACTGCGTATCACTTAGCAAGCAGCAAAAGGCATTAACAATGCTTTATGTGAGAAAACTGCAACTTTTAAATATGATGTGGGGGTTGGATGGGAATCGAAGGATCGGGGTTAATCTTAAATGCAGAATCCTAATAGTGAGAAAATATCAAATATCATTGGTAGTCAAGGATGTTCAGTAATGCTACTTTCAAAGAATCAGTGTCAGAACTGAATGAACAATCAATGGGATAAGCCAGGCACTGCTGCTCTCCCCTATATAAAACTGTTTATATTAACATTATCTACATTTCAGTTTACACATCGTCGGTTTTAATCTTTATAGATCTCTGCTATACATGAAAAATAGTTTGTCTTTGCATTATCTGTTTCCAGGACTTAACAAAAAGTCATCAAAATGCCACTGGTTGTAGTATGGAACGATGCAACAGCACACTAAAATTTTCAGTTGTGTTCTAAATGTGGAATGATACAATAACCTTTAAATTGTTCTTTACTTACAATGCTAGTGGTTTGTACTATTTTACCTGGTAGAAATCTTATGGTGCTCTTAAGATCTTTAGACTATGCTTTTACTTTTAAAGGAAATGTATGTTTTTTATTCAACTGTCAATCATCTGGTTGTTTTTAAAAAGTATATAAAAAAGGGTGGTTTTCTCACTTTTTCCCCAGTTCATTGAATGCTGATAAATGCACTTTTGGTACAGTTAACCAGTATGCTATGCAGTAGTCCTTGTTGACTTTGTATCAATGGCTGTGGATCGACTCTTGGTGTAGTAAATTCTTCCTTGTTTATAGCAAACTGGCTTTATTATTTCTGTTATTGGAACGGTATTTCTATTCTCATGACTTTTTACAACACTAATATAAGCAATGATTGCTGAAGGCATTGTGATAATAATTAAGCCACCGAATTTAGCAATGTTTAACACAAGGAAATGTAGATAGTATCCTTCCAGATACTGAGTTCTGTTGTTTTGATACTTTCTCATGGGTGTGTGGTTTTTATTAAATATTTATTTTGACTACTAAAATATTCCCATTTATACTTTTCCACTAATGGATTATTTTAATTTCTTACAGGAAATGAAAATCTCTGCAATTTCAGTGTTGCTATTATCCTTTTGCAACGCATACACTTTTGTTTAAATGTACTACTGATTACCTAAACCCGATCTTTTCCTTAATTGTGAGAAAGAAAAGAAGTGTAAGAGCTGGGTTCAGTAATAATTTAATTAATCATTAAATCTAACTCTTACCCTTCATGTTTTTTCGTTATTTCATGATGTGGAAGTATTCCTTAGCAACTCTACTGTTTAAACATAATCCTTTCCGTAACTGCTCAACTTTCTGCCTTGGCAGTAATCCAGTTGTAAGATGTAATATTTATCTCTGTGGGAGGGAGCTTAAATGGTTGAAGGCCTCGCATGGAACTTTTCTTTATTCTGTATTCTTGTAATGTTACCACAACAATTGCTTGCATGGTAATGATTAAGAGGGGAAAAAAGTGGGGGTTTAAAAGCATGATTTCAAAAGCTGCAGACAGGAATAGGGACGTGGTGTGCAGCCGTTCTTTATACAAAAATTTGAAGTGCTGCTTGTAGTGAAGTGCTCCCAGGGATCTGTTGACCACACCTTGAAAATCGCTGTTTTATCTTGTCTGTGAATAACTCAGATACTTGTAGCCAAAAGAGCTGGTATGTTGACCTTTGTAGAAACTTTAACGTGCGTATTAAGTGTTCCCTGCAAACTCTTGTTTTATGAAAGAATTAGTCATTGTTCTGGGCAATACAAAGGAGCATTCATTTGAAAGTGGAGGGAATGAAGTAGTAAGAAAAGGTACTTTCTAATGGAGCAGGCCAAGACTCTCCTCACTTTTATATTAAGAGCTCCTAGAATCCCGTCCACACCGCTTTCATTCGGTCTGTAAATTGAAGAGGGGAGGAAAGGCATGTTCTTGATTTATGTAGTTGAGCCTTTGCCACGCTGCTCTCATCTTGACTGTCCAAGTAGCTCTTCTTTAGGGATGAGCAAAAATTTTTAGATTTATTGATGCTAAGAGATGCCATCAGGTTTAACTGACTAAGATCAGCAGACTGATGTAAACTGAAGGATGCTGGACATGTCTTTCAGTCTGCTATCAGGTACTATGCCCCTTTGTCTCTTTTAAAGGAATTTTACTAAAAACAAGTATTTTGACTAATTTCAGTGTGCTGAGTTGTATTTACCCTATTAGGATGTCAGCCGTTTTAAAATTAGACTGTCATGAGATAAATGGTTCAATAAATTGAAGTGGCGTAACTTCTGAAAAATAACAAAAATAGCATTTGCTCATAGGAAAACTATCAGAGATAATAACGTTGGCTTTGTATCCTTGCAGATGGAACAGAGTAATCAACAGGTGTTTTTCCCCTTTCAATTGAACCTATCTTTTCTCCTCTCCCTGCTGTCCTCATGTGCAAGAACACCATAAACGTCATCCCTTTTCAGAACTCCCAATTTCACTAATACGCAAGAAGAGGCATACTGAAATAATGTGTAGCTGCCTTCTCCTACAATGCAATTGCTGTGGTTGCCGAAGAAACCTAGAGATGTCTTACACCATCTTTGCATACATACACAAATTGTTCAAACTTAACATGTACAGCTGCAGTAGGCATTGTGTTATACACATTTGTGCATATAATTTCAGTGAAGACTCATGCATTTATCAGATTTAATTTTTAGGTAATTTGCAGGTGAGTATATGCATAAAGAGTTAGAGGTAAATACAGATAAACAAGGATTAACTGGATATGCATGCGTATAGTTGGGACAACTGGATGCTTACGGCTTGTGCAGTTGCAGAAGGACAACGTGCAATTTGTACGTTAATCATTGAGTATAGAAATTTTTTTGTTTTGCACAATATGTCTGTCCTAGGACTTCATTTTCGAAGTATTGCAAGTATTCTTTATTTTCGAAGTATTATTCTTTGCATTACAACCAGTTAAAAACATGATTGTTCAGATCTGATTTCTTTTTTTTTTTAGTCTGTTGGTTTTTATCAGCTCTGTCAGGGCAATAGTCAGGTGTTGTGAAGAATAGGAAACATTTTCCTACAAACAGGCACGTACCAACTGTTGGAGACTGAAGTCACAAATAATGAAGTGGGGCAAAAATTATTTTCAGTGTGCAGTGCAGTTTGTGCCTTGATTAGGCAATACTGGAAGAGAGAAAGTTGAGCTAGGAGTAAACATACAGGAATATTGCTGTGGATGGAGGGTTTCATCCAAAGAAAAGCAAGAAAGCATGCAACAAGCGTGCTGCCAGAGCCTTTAACTGAAGGAGGGAGGAAGCCTTAGGTTTCTGCTCAGTTGTGAGACTTCCTGAACTGCACCTTACTTGGAAGATAACAGCGATTTCAGTATATTTAAAAGGAAAATTACATGCTGAATTCTTGGGTGAGTGAGTCTTGGCTTCAGCCTGTGAAAGAATACCTGCATAGCTGTTACACCTACAGCAACTTCTCGTCCAGGTCCTCATTCCCTGCTGGCTCTCTGGCGTGAAGCAGATGGGCTCAGAAGATTCCCCCTGCTCTGAAGGGGACACAGGTTTGTTCTGTTCCCCGTGGGATGCGAAAGATGTGTATGTGCTTTGTTTTCCAGGAGGTGTGACAGTGTGGTTACAGAGTTCCCCCTAAATGGGTTTAAACTGCCAACAACAGTATGTTTATTGCTCAGCCTTCATTGAGCACAGCTGGCTGAACCATAGGCCTGTGGGGCAGGCAGCCTTGTGTGACTTCAGAGCAAAGCACTGACCTGCGAGCAATGTCAGTTTGCTGAGAGGAGTAAGTGCTCTCCCGGAACAAAAGCTGCTGAAACCTTTTGGCACTGTGAATGTGGGTTGTCCAGCACAGCTTCTCAGCAGCTTTCCCTTGCTCACAGCTGTTGGGCATTCCAAGCCTAAGGGGCACAGAGGGCAGCTCTTTAGGTGCAACCATCCAGCCGTATGACACTGCATTGCCAGGCGAGGTTTTTGCAAGATGGAGGCAAGCCTTGTAGCTGTAAAGCTGCTCATATACCTGCTGCCAGGGTGTGGAGCTTTGGGCTGAATATGCAAGCATTTGTTCCTTCCTGAAATTTCCCTTGGAAAGACTCAAGATCAAAACAATTCTGGGAAGTTGGCTGCTTGCCCCAGGCTCCTGCGAACTTTGCATCACACAGAAGCACCAGGAAGAGTCCCAGTTTGGATGAGTGTATGTGGCTGGGCTTCTGCTTGCAGAGGCTCTGTAACCCACCTCTGCCTGGCAAATGTCTGGAACTGCAGCAGAACCTGCTACTCCTGTAAAGTCCTCCTTCAGCTGCTGCCCTGTAACCAAAATTATGCTTCTCCGACTTCAGCCTAGGAATCCTGCTTTGCTTAGACAGAAAGCTTGGGAATGGAAAGGCTGGAGGACACCTCTCCTTCCACCTGTCCTTCACCTCACTTGCTCTCCATACAAAACTAACACTTTGTATAGTGTTTCAACTGATCAAGAAGAATCTGTCCCCCAAACCTCCAGCATAGCTTATGAGAAGGTAAGACATTCCTGCCTGGGATCAAAATAACATAGCTTGCTATGTTGCATACATTACTATGCTACCTTTTTTTTTTTATTTTAAATAATCCTTGATATAGAGATCATGTTATTTTTATAGCATTCAGTGAGTGGTAGCGCATCTAGTATTCTTTGAAAGCTTAAAAACTGCCTGCTTTCTGCAGTCTTAATGTTTAGTGCCTGTCTACAAGCTGGTGGTCCTGCATGCAGGATATATGTCGTTTTTGCGAACAGCCAGAAGAAATTGTATACACACATCAACAAACAAAGCAGTGATGACAAAAATGAAGCAAAAACAAAACACAAAACACCCC